AGCTATACTGACCTATATTTGTATATGCCAAATTTAAGTTAATTAGAAATGTAGATGCTGTTTGTTTTATCTGTCAAAAAGCTCATGTTAAAAAAAAAATCTAGACACTCTTTTCCCCCCAACATTTATCATCTAAATAATAGTCTTGCCAAGATGGCAGCCTCATAATAAACTCTTTTCAGTGGAGTGATGGGTAATGAAGCTTGCTTGTGAAGGCAGCGAAAAATGTTGTCTAGCCAAATGTGTGGATATGATGGCTAGAGAATCAGTGGACTTTCTCAGTCATCAATCTTTTTAGTAGCCTCTTACACATCTGAATATTTTGATAGATGATCTAATAATTGAGTTATCTATCTTTCTAACTATCAGAGTTGCATAAAAATTATTCTCACATGCTATTGAATATTATATATATTGAGCATCCAGTAAATTTTTCAAAAAAGGTCCAAGAGGTGGAGGAATTTTGTTTGTCTTAAGCAGCCTTTAATATCTTAAATGATAAATTACTATGTATAGAATACAAAACTATATGTACTAATATAAGGAAAAAATAAATAATGTCAATAGCTGATTACAGATAGGACTCAGTAAATAAAGCATTTAAAAGCGTGGGACTGGTGAGGTTAATGCACAGTCTAAGTAATTTGAAGTACAAAATTAGTAGATTCAGTAGTCCCTGGGCAGTTAATGGACAGGAATCACATTTCCACTCAGTTGCACAAATTCCTTGTGTCTAAATCTTGGCTTAGGGAAAAAGAAATACACTATAGTGTACCACGTTTACATTCAGCATCTGTGAGAGCTATGAGAGAGTTTCTTTTGATTAAAGATGAGACTGAAATATATATATTGAAACTTCCTACATTTTGTTTATTCTGAGGGATTGTACAATATGGATTCCTCTTTCCACAACACAAGATTCTGCTTCCCTAGAACACTAATCTTGTGTTAATGGAGGCACTGAGGATATTTGGATAAGTTGCATTAAGCACATCATCAGATGTGTCTTCCTACAGATTCTGAGTGGCAGAGCAAAATGCTTGTTGGTGTTAGTGTAATTTTTTTAAATGTTGCATTATATAATTCTTAACTTCAAATGCATTTCTGGTCAGGTGAAAATTATTTTAACAATAAGAAATACATTGTTGCATTAAGAAAATTTTTCATTCAAATATATTTTTTCTGCCTCAGTACCACCAGTTTATGTTCAATTATGTACTTTTGTAGAGACTGTAAAATGTTCCTTCTTGTAAATTCTTGAAAACTGTGTGATGGGGCCTCATTTCTTAAATTATTTTCAGTTTTTTAGTACTCTGTTTGTTTTATAACTACAGCAAGGTATAAACAAGTATGTTTGATGAATTGTTCTCCAGTTAGCAAAGAGGCTTTTCTTTCTCTGTTCAGAACTAGAGTGACTTTCTTGAGGATATCAAGAAGTTTTCAGTCATTTCAGAATTTTAATGGAAAAGTATAAGAGGGATTTTTTCTTTGTAGTTACTACCTCTTTATAGGAGTATGAGAAAGATGCATTTTAAGGACTTGCATGTTGCCAAAATTTGACAGCACTTTGAGAAAGTATCATTGAACCTCATGGGACCTTGCCCCTGCATATGGATCTGCAAACAACAAACCTTGGGCTGTCTCAGTGGCTGTAACTCTCACTGTGGTTGTGACTCTCATGCTCAATAAGCAAAATTCTTGATGTTTATTAGTTCTTCCTAAACATGCATAATTAGTTGGATAAATTTGGGTACACATAAAGCAAGACACTGAAGTAAGATGACTTGAGTATCAAAAACGTAAAAATTTCCAATAAAATTTGGCTCTGAAGTTCCACATTTATCTTGCAATATTGCATCCCATTTGAGTAGTCTATATTTTTGTCTTCAGTAATATTTAGATTGATTTTATGCGGTTTTATGTGACATAAGATGTTACAGAAGTATAATTTAAACCTAAGGCATTAGAAAATAAGTTACAAAAAAAACCCTTACATTATTCTGTTTTATTACTTGTTGAATTTTAATAGAAGAAAGCTGAAATTGCTTCTGAATGTATAAATTCATAAGCAATTAACTGGAGTTTATCAACATCAGTGTTACATGGCTTCTTCTGCCCTTTAGTAAATTGGCAGTTATTCTAGTTAGCATTTGTAGCATTTCTGCTAGAGAATATATCAAGCTCCTAAGCATACACAGTGTGTTATATACATTTACGTATATGTTTGTGTGTATACTTTATGAATGTTTAGATCTTTATTTAGGAAAAAGGTCTTCATTCCCCTCTCTTAATCTAAATAGTAAGCATCTGTGTTCCTTCTTTTCATTTGATTAGCATGTTCTCATCCATCACTAGTCTTTGATATGAACATCAGGAAATCATGTCCTTTTATTTAAATGATAAATGTGCCTTTGTCATGAATACTTACAGACATTCCAAGATTTACATCTGAATTGTCAAAGTGTAACTGCAGGCTTCTCTGTTGTGTGACATTATTAGTGAAATAAAGAACTTTCATTTTTTTTATGGGTAGGCCTTAAATATTGACACTGCAAGGCTAAATTAGTTGTGATGCTGCAAAAATTTTTCCTTCATCCACTGTTTTTCTAAGATGTGTTGTTTGTCAACAAGACACAATCAGCTGCATTAGAATCTCTGCAGACATTCCTATTTACATGTTCTAAACCTGTCTCTTCATGTTTCATTATTTAGGTCTGATGTCTAGTTAGCTCTTATCAAAACTAATACCATCTGAAGTACCAGGCTTCCAGTAGAAACACAACCAACATAAAAATTTCAGTCTCACTAATATTATTGAAGACAGTATCTCTTTAAACCTCGGCTTTGTTTCAGTGTCTAGATAAATTATATCTTGGAAATTAATTTCAGTGAATGAGTCACTGCTGTTTCAATAGATGAAATACATCTGTAATTATATTCTGTATGTTTTTAAATTTAAAAAATAGCACAAATACAAGTGTTTAGATTAAAGCTCTGGTACTGTTCTTACTATGTCTTGATGCTACTAAGGCAGAATGAGCTACTGTATGGCTGTCTTCATATTGTTGGAATAGTACAGTAAGTTAAAATGTTTTGTTAGAAAAACACCTAGATATGATTTTATAAACTATTTTATCATCTATTTGTAGCTAAATTTGAATGTGTCAGGCAAATAGGTAATTTTAGTTCCTACAGAAAGCTGGTGTTCCTTGAAATCTTTAGGTTTTTTACACAGGATAAAACATTTTTTCCTCCTTTTTTTCTGCTCTTTCATTTATTGTATTCTGAATATATATCATGGCTGAATTCATTTAATGTTCTAAGTGCTGAAATGCTGAAATGGAATCTTTGAAATGCATAGTTTCAAGATATTGCTATTTATAATCTTTACAACTCACAAAATAGTTGTGAGAGGAATTTAGTGAGGGATCCCACAAAATTATTTAAGGATCCATGATACCAATCAGTTTATAATTGCAATATTCTGTAATGTCATATATACAATACACTGCAATAACTAGAATTTTTTCAACATTTTGTGTTTTTTATGTCAGAAACTTTTACAGCAACATTTCTTGTGTAGTCAAATTTTTTTATTCCAAGCTTGTTTATATTATAAAGTATGTAAAATTAATAATATTACTTTTATCTCTTTTCTTTTGGAAAACTGTTTATTTTAAATTAATTAAAATTACACATATTTCTGTCTTTCTGTAGAAGACTACTTTTGAAAGTATATTCTCATTTAATTGCTCCAAAAGGAGAAATATCTTGGGTCCTTTTCAACCCAGCCCAACAAAGTGAAGTGGTATTTTCTGGCATACGAAGGATGCCTGTGAGTTTTTGAGACACTGAAGCTGTAACCAAACTTGAAGAAGATGATGGCAATGAGTTTCTGTCCAGAGTTAATCAGCTGCAGAATTTGTAAACTGCATATGTGTCAAAGTTGAAAATGTTAGCGCTCTGATAGAAGCTTGAAAAGGTTAGAGCTGATAAAAGCCATCAGCAGTTAAAGAAGGTGATTTATGGGAATGTAATGACACAAAATGCCTCATTTATCACTCATATATAGATAGGTTAAGGTTTCTGTGTCATACTTTAAAAATTTGACCACTTAGAATTGTCAAAATAGGTACTTAATTGCCCATCATACATTTCAGTTCAAATTTCCTTTGCTTGAATTTTGGTGATTTTACTGTTTTGCTTCTCATATGGTTCTTTTTAAAGTCATTCATATTTCATATTTATTTCATATTTGTTTCAAATGGTATGCTCAGTGCTCTGTTAGAACTTTTATTAGGTAAAGCTGTTGATTTGAATGCTGTCCAAATCTTTTGTTGATTTACAATTTCATTCAGCCTAACTGTAAGGAAAATAACTGAAGGTTTCGTTTTCTTCTGTTCTATACCACTAATTCTCATCAAGAGTTTACAGCTTTCTAATTCAATCCTTACATTTCCTCTCCAAACTGAAATATGAGGTTAAAAGTGAATCCATCAACTGGTTTCCAGTTCCAGTCACTTAAGTTACTGTTTATCTCCATGCAAATTAAATTGAATCCAAAACTACCAGTACTGTTAAATGATTCTAAAACAAAATAAAAATGTTAAGAAAAATGCACAGTAGTATGCTATCCTTTTACTGACTTGATGTGAGGATAGTAGCAAGCAAATCCCATGGATTTGTGACTGACTGGTTTTATTTTAACTGTCCATAATTTCATCATAGTGCTGTAAAAAAAGTAAATGCAAACATGGATAAATACTCATTAAGGTGTTATCTATATGGCAATGTTTGTAAAATAAAGCAACTACTCTAAAGACATTGTAGTAGTAAAATAGAGGTTCAACTGCCAAAAAAAATGTTTTGATAATAAAGTTTCTAGATTTATTTTTCTTTGCCTATTTACTCTTTTTCAACTATTTCATTCTCCTATTCCCAGATTTTACACAGAAAATTCTGAACAGAATCATTTCAGTTTTTAATATTAAAAAACTTACCTTTTTGTTAGCTTTCACAATTTATGGCCCCAGTTGTATAGCATTCTGTTTGTTCAGCGATGACCTTCCAGGTTCGATTTAAAAAGAAGTCGGAAGCATTTGTCATGTCTGCTCGATCTTGTCCAGAGGTACCTATTGTAATTATAAAGGACTAATAAGGTTGTTTATAATATAACAGTCTGACAACCCTAAAAAATCTTCTGGAGAGCAACTTCCCTTTTTTTTTATTTTGTCTTTCTTAAGAGAATAAAACCTCCCTTACCTTCTTGCTGTGTGTTACACTGCATCTTTTTAAATTAAGATGAGAAAGCATAAAGAACTTAAGCCTTTGAAAACTTACTTTAGTTTTAAAATATAAGCTGTATAATTTTCTCATTTGTAATGTTTTTTGGAAATACTCAGTACTAATGTGTCTATAGTAAAGTTGCACCCTATATTTAATTGGTGTATATAGAGGTGATGATGATGTACTTAGAAGCACTGAATTTCTTTCACCATATAACAAAAGAAACCCACTTGTGTTGCAAAAATATGTGCTACATTAATATGGTGATCTCTGTTTCTTAGGAAAAAATCCAAATTAAGACAATCCTATTTATTCTATTATAAACATTAACATACTGTTGTAAGTGGGTGTTATTATAGTGGTATTTTTCATTATATGTCAGGTTTTTTACAATTGACTTATGATCATTTTTCCCTTCCTATGCCTTTGTCTTGCTTCCTCTTTCCTTTTTCCTCCCCCATTTCAGCATCATCCAGCAATACCGCTTCTTTTTATAGACATCTATATAAGGTAAACAAAAACCCAATGGAATTTGAATGTTTGACAGAAATGTTTACCTCTCTTGTATGGTATGTAACAACACTGGAGTATTGTCAGGCTACCATACATCATTTAAATACCCTTAGACAGCAAAGGCAAAATCTTGACAATTCAGTAATCTCATCATGTGATTTCAATACGGCTTTTTTTTTCATATCTACAATTGAGACAAATTTATGTTGTGTGTATTTATGGTTGTTAAACTCAAAATTGTCTCATTTCATTAATTTTTAACATTGTGCTCTCTTAATGACTATGAAGAAATGTATTAAAATGCCTTAATTATAGGGCTAGAAGAAGAGAAAGCACAAGTCTTTTTAGCATATGATCTTTCAATTGCTCACTAAAGGATAAAGAGGGCATTCAAGCGTGGTTTAGATAACTGTCAGCAATAATAAAATGCAAGGTAGTTTGTAGAGCCTTTAAAGACCTTTTGGGGAAATAGATTTAATTAAAAAACAATAAAATGGACTTTTCATTTCAAAGAAATCAAAAATGTTATAAAATTTCAGGATGCTGCTGTATTAAGAGTAATGTATATTTCCAAGAATAAGGAAAAATAACTGAAAATACTCTGCAGACCACAAAGCAGTTGTATCTTTATTTTGTGTGTGTAAATGTATGTCCTTCACCTTTTAAAACACAGACTATGAATAGCATATTAGATATATTTCATGTTTTCTGAACTGTGGGATTTTACCTCTTTTGGTAAAAATTTTGTTTTATCTTTGAATGAAGGTGTTTTTTTTAAAAATATATAAGGTGAACACTTAGCTTCTTAATGTAAAATTACGTTCTCACAATTACCTTCAGAACAACACAATTCCTATACTGGCAGAAGTTCAGTTGCCTGATTCAGAGTCTGTAAGTTCCCATTCATCATAGTTGCCTGTTGTATATACTGTGGAAATACATTTTAAATTATATTTCTGATTTCTGCTTTTTTTCTTTCCACAGAATCAAAAATCACATTTGCTAGTAATGCTTTTGGCTATGCAGTGTGTTGAAAAGTTTATTCAAGCACTTATTCTGCATTATCAAGTTTTACTGCTTCTGGCAAAGAGCAACTTAACTTACATGTGATCAGCAGCAGTTTATAAACAGCATTGAGTGCTGTCTTTTTAAAGTTTTTGCACTTTTGCTGTGCAAAAGCCTCATGGTTTCCTGAGGAAATTTTTGTACGTTTTTTCCCCTCACTCTGGTGAGGTTTTAACCAAATTTTTGTAGCGAAGTACCAAACAAATCTGTATGAAAGTTGCCTTTGTGTAGCAAGGTGTTTTACAGAGAAATCAACTTCAACAAAGTGTGTTTTCAGCAAATGCTAAAACTCTCAGTCTTTTAGTTAAAATTGCTGGCCCAAGTACATTATAAAACTCGTTCATCATGAAAATGGGACTTCAATATTTAGGGTCTTGTTATATCCTCTTGTAAATGTAGTTTGGATTGTTAACTCCTATCAGTATTCACTTTGTCACTGACTATCCCTGTTCTTGGAGCTGGTCATTTTTCTTTGAAGAAAAGTAAGGGGTTTTTTGTCTGCTTGCTCACATACCTTGAACTGAAGCATAAATTAATAGCACAGCCTCTGTAAAATACAGTGGGCATGTTTGAAAGATGTGAAAAAGGTACAAATGTCTGGCACTGTTCTGTACAAAAATGCCTGTTTCCTTCATTGCTGGGTTTCCTGAGGCTTGAGGGCTCAGGAACCAAGATGCAACAGATGCATGCATGGTTAGCTTTGGCAATATTTTTGACAAAGAGGTGCCTCACATCATCTTGTCATCAAAGTCCCTTCTGTTTTCAGCTGGTTGTGTCTATTTCTTTCCACTCATCCCTCCTGGTATGGTAGGACTATTTAGTGTGATAATGTTTCTGTAGAATGTGCTCTACTATAAATATATATACTATATTCTCTAATCTGAAACGGATGGGCTCCTGCAGAATCATTAGTTTTGATCACTTCTCTTGGACATGTAAATTCAATAGAAGCTCAGGTCAAATGTGGAGTCTGCTTCCTTTGCCTTTTTACTAGTATTAATATTGTCTGCTTGCCAAAGTTTCGTGTGGTATTAATTTTGTTGCCATGACTGATACAGAGATGACTGTTTTTCTGTAGTAACTTCTGTAAACTTTGGTAGGCACACAAAGCTCTCACTGAGTAAAACTTACTATCGCACAGTAGTGGTTTTTTCTTTTGTTAAAAGTCACGTTTCCTGTATTTAAAGACCTCTCCTTACTGCTAGCATTTTATTAAAAACAGTAAATTTTCTATATCATTTTACTACATCAAAATGCAACATTCAAGAGAGGAGTGTGCATGATCTGGAATCCTAATCTTCATGTAGGGGAAACTCTAGCTCCTTATGTGTTTGCCCAATAGCACATCTAGCCTCAATACAAGCTGAGGGGTTCATGATGCAAGCAGTAAAGTGGCCAAGGTAGAATAATGGTCTTCATTTATATTGTTATGCCTAATGATTCTTAGTAACTGATTCTCATGCATGTGCCTCCAGACAATGGATAGGGTAAGCTATAACAGCTGTAAATGTAGCTTTGAATCTGTTCCGTTGTTGATCTCATTTGTTCTCTCAAGCAAGTTACTTGTTGCTTTTATATTTAAAATTCACCACCTGATATTGCATAAAAATATTGCAAGGTTAAACTGGTTTTCTTAAAACTCAAGGTAAAAGACACTACAGATAGAGACATAAAAATATGCTCTGTTATGAAAAATTTCTTTACTTGTATCAAAAGTGTAAACCTAAGCACAGGCATTCTCATAATTTTAATTTTCTTAGCACCATTTATAGGGTGTCAAGGAAGAAAAAAAGAATCCAGAAATATTATCTGTGCTTCGGCATGAAACATTATAAAAACTACATTAAATTCCAGATATTTTTTGGCTGTGTTAAGGAGGTAAAGGACAGGATTCTTGGATAAACACAAAACACGTCAAAGTACCACTCAAATCATTCTTCTCTGTAAAATGTCCAGGGGTACAAGTTCAGAGAGAACAGTCTTTATTCTCACTACTATGGTGCAGACTTCCCCATCTGTAGAAGCTCACTATACTGTCTTTTGTGTCCTGTGTTTTCCTGCTCCTTCTCTGTATAATCATTGTGTGGAGCTCTGAAAATTAATACTCTTAATTTAATTGCCACAAGACCACTAAGATGTAATAGCACTACACTGCTGAGTCTCTGCTCTCTCCTTGACTTTGTTAGACCTTAAATTTAGCATGGATCTGTGGAATTGGCATGGTGGGAGAATCCCCTTCGCATGTCAGGAAATCTCAGGAAAATGTCTGCACTGTAAGGTAGATCTTGCCTCACAGTACATGTATATGTCTGAATTACATAAATTTAACTAAAACATGAAATATAATATAATCTTATAATACTCCTTTTTGTGCATATCGATATGCATATATTTAATGTTTGAACTAACAATAGTTCAAAATTGTGCCTTGCTGTCGATACATTTCCTGTATCACATCTATAAAAGTCTGTCCCTGGATTTGCTATGATACTCAAGTGTGTCTGAAGTGAAACTAGAAAAGATTACTTTTTTTTAAGAACAAAAAATATGAAAATGGTCATTAGCTGCAGAGAAGAAAAGCAAAAGGTGGTAACATTGTGGGATGTTGTTTTACCTGTGAAAAAGTATGCTGTGCTGCATTAGTCTTTTCTATGACATGAGGGAATTTGTGTACAGCATTGCTTTCAGTAGCTCACAATGTTTGTTTTAGAGTATTAGTCAGATTAGTCAGATTTTATCAGAGCCCATTGAGTTTTGCATAATTAAAATTGTAGCAATAGCTAAATGCTATGAAATGTGGAATGCAGAATCTTTGCTTTGCCAAATGTTCTTCTCCAGGGTTTCAAAGAAGGAGCAGGGAAAAGTGGGAGAAGCTTGAAAGTCAAGTCTGATGCTTAAAAATGTTTAAATTTTATTTAAGTCTGTATTTACCTTTTTATAAAATATAAAAGTTAAGAATAATAGATTTTTCTGTTACATTGGTCTCATGCAGCAGCAATAGTAGTATGTGCGTAGTTTGTGCAGTAGTTGCTCATTTTAAAATGCAGAGTTGTAGGATTGCAGTAATGTGTCACTGTAGACTGGTTTCAGTACACCTGCAACTTAAATGTTTCAGATACATTGGGGAGAAAAGTTGTTTACTAAGTTGTTTATTGTCTAAATGCTACCAAATGCATATAACTGAAAA